GTGGCTTAAAACTCATGCCGGGCGCATGTGCGTGCGTGCCCAAGATCCTGAGAGGAGAATGGAGGAGAAGGGATTGAGGCATGGCCATCCACCCTGGGGGGTGATTTCTCGCTTTCTGTCTGTCTCTCTCTGTCTGTCTGGCGAGCGCACACACCCTATATCAAAAACCTCTCAAAAAAATATATAAAGGGTCTTCAAAAAGTGCACGCAAAATGTGTATTATGAAAAAAACTATGTGTGGATTTTAATAATTTTTGTACCAAAATAAACTCATACTTTAATTCCATTTTTCTACAAACATGTCCAAGTCTTAATGTGTCACCACCAATGGGTCCCAGGGTTTTTCTGATCTGGTCTCCCAATCATGTGAACGGAGGCAGGGACGTTCCTGGGCGAACTATGGTCTTGGTTCCATAAATATGTCTACACTGGTTTAAATGCTGGGGCTGGTGGGGGGGTAATTTTTATAGCTAGCTATTTATTTGTGTGTCCCCAGCATCCTTCTCAGAGAGGACCTGTGGCTACTTGTAGTTGTATTGGAAAATCTCAAGTCCTGGGCCCTGGGGTCCAAGAAGTCCTTTTAGGGTCTTTACCTCTGGGTCTTCTTGTGTTCCTTTGGAAAATGTCCCAACTATGGAGAAACCCCTAGAGAGTCCTTACAAATCCATTGGACAACTGCCAGGAGCTGACAGTTTTGGAAAAGGGAAGGCAGAGTAGGGAGGGCAAATTTGCAGGTATGACTCTCCCATTGGCCTCCTGCCACCATCTGTCTACATTGTTCTTCCCCTCCTCTCTGGACGGGCTTACTCAGCTCTTTAATGAGACATCCCAGGACTTGCTAGCTCCGTAGGGCACTGCACATGGCAGCAACCCCATCCCAACCTGCACACGTACTGGAGCCGTTGACTTAATCTGAGACAGAGGTTGAAATTTCCAGCTGTGTCTTCACGACAGCTACTCAGATTAAAACGGAGAAATCCAGTATTGTCCAAATGGATTAATAAGAAAAAAAAAAAAAAAAAAAAAAAAAAAAAAAAAAAAACTATCTGAAGCTCAGCCTGACGGTGTTGTCAGTAAGTACACTGAACTGCTGTGCCAGAAGTCGTAAGGCTGGCCACGGTTCTTATCCCAGAGTGGAACTGAAACTACACAAGGGGTGCACACACAGGCCTGGGATGCTGAGGTGCTGGGGGGAAGCGGTGCACAGTGTGATGAGACGGTGTTGGGGGTCCTTCTCTCTCTCTCTTCTTCCCTTTCTTCCCTGTGCATGCATGTTCTCTCTATCATGAATAAGATAACTAAGTTTTTAAATATTGGACTGAACTTGATTTACTTTTCATTTCTACTTTATAAAAACTTTCAGAGCCCTGCATGTAGAATTCAAGAATTCAGCCCACTCTACCAACCCACAACAGAGGACCCAGGAAATCTGCCTTTTGGAGAAGTGGAGTTTCTAATCTCCAAGAGACATGAGAATGACTTACTACTGGAATAAACCTTTAGAAATGATTGCCGGAATCTGAGCCACCCCCTAAGGCCCTTTCTGACTGCTCCTGGAACAGACAATGCTGACCACATGCAGGACACACAGCTGGGGCCCTAGAAATGCCCCAGAAAGGGCCGTGTCTTCAGTTCATCTCACAAATGATCCTCTAATGTATTTACAAATGCACAGACCCAAGTCCTCGTGTATGACGTTGTTATGATTATGGAAGAAAAATAAATAACTGCATGCAGACATAACATGGGATCTTCCACGGAGAAAATGATCTCCCCTGGGAAGATCTCTGAAAGTCAGAGAGGGCACATGATGGTCACAGAGGCCACCAGCAGAGCCACTGCTAATGCATCTTGTAGCATGTGCACTGTTGGGTGCCCCATTTCATGTCCGAATGAGGGGCTTGGGGGAGGGACGACAAACAGACACAACCCGAGAGCACATTGTAAGTTGTTTATTTTGTACAAGTGACATCAAAGCAAGGGTTTTGCCTGTGTTCTGGTTTATCTCCAAATAAATAAATAACTATGTACAAATGTGCTGAGTTGACAAAATAGGAGAGGAAAACCTTTGCCTTACAAAAAATAATAATAATAATAATAATACATTTAAATGATACAGTTTCTTCCAGACGCTGAAGCATGGTTTCTTCATTCCTAGCCTCGTTGAACCAAAGACCTCTCCCCTTGCAGCAGTGGCTAGAGGTCTGTACCTAGTCTTTTCTACCTGAAAGCAAAGCTGTTAATAAAAATTCCTCAGTTTCTTGAGAAGAAAGGGTCTGACTTGGCCCACTCTTCATTACTGATCCATATTTAATATACTCCAGAAAATGGGAAACTGTCTCTGCAGTTGTCCTCAGATTACTGGGCAGATAAACCCCTGCAGATCTTGTTAAAATGCAGACTCTTGGGAGTTGGTGGGGTGGAGCTTCGAATTCTATATTTTTAACCGGTTCCCATGGGCAGCCTCTCCAATGGCCAGGGTCAGAAAGCCCCTTTGCAATAGGAGAAATTCTTCCGGGACCTGATGAAGGCCCAGCGGTCAGAGGGCATCCTCAAGGCTCCATTCCCAAGCTCCTCAAGCCCACAGAACCAGTCAAGCTGGTTTTTGTTTTGGCCTCTAAGTTTCTGGAGCAGTAAGAGTCAAAAGGATAACCGATAGGAATCAGACAGCACAAAACTCTTACACTGTCTCCTGGGAGGCGCTTCTCTCCTGAGTCTGCGGCGACCATCCAAACCTCCCTGCGCTGTCACAAATAAGTCACGACAATGACAACAACCACCAAGACCAAGGAAACCACGTAAGAAACGTAACAATGACCACTTTTCATGTTCAAATCAGAACCATGGCAACAGTGAAACCCAGGCTCACTGTGTAAAGATAACAGTGTATAAGAAAAACTCCTTGGGTTTCGTTGCTATAACTGTCCAGCAACACTCATTGTATTAATGCCTCTCACACCTTGACCTTCGTTAAAATTATTTTGCTCAGGAAGCCTCAAATGTCAGGTACAAATGAGCAAATCTGGCGAAAAGCGGGTGCCCGAGGGTGTGTGTTTTTAGTGTGTCTGTTTTCTGTTTCAGATTTGAGTTCTGCCTGGGCAGACGCTCAGAGCAAAAAGAGGTAGGGTCAGTCACGCTTGGGCAGAGGTCCAGACCAGGGGCCGGTTCCTGGGAGGAGAAGCCTGGGAGGAAGGAGGGAGGCATGGGGCCTGGCACCTCTGCCAGAGGACAGGAGGCACTGGGAGTTCAGCCAGACGGTCTCACTGCCACAGGGCAAGTGGGAAACCTTAAGTGAGAATGGAGATAAGGAAAGAAATAAAACCCTAAATACTTACAAAATAAATATCGCGGTCACCACTAGACCACGGATCAAGGTCTGCCCCAAGCCTGCCTACCAATCCCGCTCACCCCTCCTGGGATACGCAGTCTGGGCTTCACCTTCACCGTAAATCACCACCTCTGTCCATTGTCCGGTGACGTGGAGGAAGAAGCCGGGACTCAGCCTCCTTCCATCCCTTCTCACCAGCTATGCAGAGAACCAGCGATAACACTTTGGGGAGTCTGGGGAAGGGTTTTCTCCAGGTCATGCCATCTAGGTCCATCTGGGTAGCCAGAGAGGAAAGCTGGAGTCTGGGGCCAGGAGGGGGCACGCGTGTTCTCAGAGCTTCTGCGGGGCCCGCTCGGTCCGCACGTACTGCAGCACCACCTCTTTGCCCGGCGCCGCGCACTTGTACTCTGGGTCGGCCCGGGAGGCGCCCTGCTTCTTTCTCAGGTGGCAGAGGAGTGCCAAAAGGGCCACGACCAGGGACAGGCTAGCGATGGAGGTGCCAATGAGCACGCCTGAATGCCTCGACGGAGTGGGGCTCGAGGTGGACAACGGGGTGGTAGGGAGTTCCCCAGAGCCGTCATCTTCATCACTGGTCACCGTGATGGGGTCACAGTCAGGACCCACCTGGCCGGCAAAGGGAGAGTCTGACCCACAAATGCACTCGAAGGAGCCGGGCAGGTTCCGGCACTCCTGGGGGCACCCGCTGTTGTCGCACTCGTCGATGTCCGTGCACATGAAGCCGTCGTCCAGGATGTAGCCCTCCGGGCACTGGCAGCTCCCAGGGGTGTTGGGGTCGCAGTCGGCCGGGCACGAGGTCTGGTTGCAGAACATCCGGCACCTGTGCGGATCCTGCAGGCTGGGCGCAAAGCCCTCGGCACAAATGCAGCGGTAGTCCGTTTGGCCCACGGGCTGGCACTGGTACTCACAGGTAGACCCGAAGCACGGGTCCACGGGCTCCACGCACTCGCCGTCCACTAGGTCGTAGCCGGGGTAGCAGTGGCATCTGAAGCCCCCCTGCGTGTTGACACAGAGCTGCGGGCACGGGTTGGGCACTAGCTTACAGTCGTCCACATCCTCGCAGTGGTGCTGGTCGGCTGCCAGCTGGTAGCCGGTCTCGCACATGCACGTGTAGGAGCCCCGCGCGTCGGAGGAGTTTCTGATGCAGAAGTGCTGGCAGAGATCCTCGCAGGAGTGCTCGGAGGCGGCCGCGGCGCAGGAGCGCCCGTCGGCTTGCAGGACGGCGTCAGCAG